CACTTTTACACCTCCTCTCTCCACCTTCCCTCCCTTCGTCACTTTATTACTCACTCTCCAGCCCTGGTGTGATCGGGCAGAGGGAGAACCTGAGGACAGGTCAAAGGTCAGAGGTCAGAGGGAACCCTGACTGGACCTGGGAGACTTGGTCTGTAAATAGTTACTGTAGTCTGTGGAGTCCACGGATCATTGATAAGGAACAACCATCGACTTTTTAGACGCTCATTACCAACGGTTCAAACAAACAAAAACAACTGAAATGAAAAAAAAAAGAAAAAAACCCAAATAAATCTGACTTAACGTTTCAGTTCTACCTCTTGTTTTACTGTTGCTGCAGTATTCAGGGGAGGACCTCCATCATGTAAGGTTTGTATCTGTACCTCTCAGTATGCAAGTTCAAATGGGTGTTATTCAAATTAAAGTCATTTTACTGCAGTAAACGTCAACACAGTTTTCTGTTGAAGTCGTCCGTCAGCGTCTCATTTTAATGTTGAAAACAAGAGTAAAAAAACAACTGGACTTTATTACATTTACAAACAAAAAAACACTGATTCGTTTGATTTACAACACTTAAAAACCACATCCAACTGAAGTGATAAAAGTGAACATCAGGCACAGACTGCGGTCGTCCACAACAAATGTTTATTTAAATTATAAAAACGTAGATTTTGAATATTTTTCTCTGTGTTTCACTTTATTTACATTTGTGAGTTCAGTCCCAGCAGCAGTGACTCCTCAGCCTCCGGTCGATGTCTGTCGTCATACGTTCTCCAGTTCATTCACAGTTCATTCAAGTGTTTGGGATGGGAGGGGTCTGGGGGTGTTGCCCCCCCCTGCCCCCCCTCAGAGGAGCTGCAGTCCATCCACAGCCACCGTGTCGACGGCCAGGCCGTTCTCCAGGGCCGTGTGGTAGATCTGCAGGGCCTGTTCCAGGGGCAGCTCCCCCCCCTCGCTGGTCTCGATGATGGCGATGGTCTCTCCAAACTCATTGCACATGATGGTAGGAGTGCCCTGAGGAGGAGGAGGAAGAGGAGGAGGAGGAGGAGCAGGAGGAGACAGACAACAGGACAACAGTCAGCTGACAACAACCAGGGTAAGAGAAACAGTCGTACTTCAGGTGTTGGTCACAGGGTGATGGGGTTTGAACAAGAGTCGATCAATGGGACGACAGGTTTGGATCTAGAACCTTCTGACGTTCTATTTTCCTAAAAACACTGAAAGAACATTTAAGCAGGTTGTGACCCCGTGTCAAATGTCATCCTCCAGAATTCTCTGATAGAAACAGAATGGAGGAAACCTGGACAAAAACACATCTTTCACTTTGACTAAAAACTAGTTCTCAGCTATGTTCCACCAGTGGTCCTTGGGCTCCCTCTGGTGATAGACAGGGGAAACGTTTTGTGAGAGTGTTTCTTTTCAAGCTCTATTCCATTCTTAAAGACTTTATAATTATATATAAATGTAGTTTAAAGCAGTGATGAAAGACATTTTAATTACAATTAAAATTAAAAAATCACTACCGACCCCGAGGATATCAGAGGCGTGAATTTGGATGATCTGAGGTTGACTGTCGGCCACTTCTACAGTTGAGGCATCCAACGTTGTCACAGGAGAAGTCTGCATGGTGGCCTGGGCATCAGCAGCCCGAGCATCAGCAGCGGCCTGAGCATCAGCAGCGGCCTGAGCATCAGCAGCAGCCTGGGCATCAGCATCAGCATCAGCAGCAGCAGCTTCCTGGTCCAGCTTCTGCTGCCTGACGTGGGTCTTTTTGTGGTTCCTCAGGTTGGAGAAGGTCTTAAATGCTTTGCCACACAGGGGGCAGACGTGAGGTCGTTCGCCCGTGTGCGTACGCCGGTGTTCAGCCAGGTGCATGCTCTGGATGAACCCTTTCCCACAAACCTCGCAGCGGAACGGCCGCTCACCGGAGTGCGTGCGGAGGTGCTCGCGCAGATGCGTGTTCTGACGAAAACGTTTGCCGCACACCTGACAGGGAAACGGCCGTTCGCCGGTGTGAACGCGCTGGTGAAGCGCGACTCCAGAGGAAGAAACAAACTGTTTCCCACAGACGGGGCACTTCTGGGCCCGCTTCACCATGGTGGGCCGCGGTCGCCCGGGGCCTGCGGCGAAGTGGCTCAGTTTGTGAAGACGCAGATTGGCTGCAGAGTTGAGCTTCTTCCCACAGATGTTACAACCTAACCCCCCCCACACAGAAGCTGTCGCGTCACCCTGGGCTGCAGTTGAGGCGGAGGGATCGGCGGTGAGCTCCTTGTCCGGCTGCGATTGGTCCGCGCCCCTGGTGTTGACTTCTTTCCCTGCAGCAGCCTGCACCAGGCTGAGGTGCTGCTCCAGGCAGTGGGCGTCTCGCTGTCGTCGACTCAAGAAGCCGGCTGCACAGTGAGGGCAGGTGAAGGGCGCTGGAGACCCCGGGTGCTGGGTGTAGCGATGTGCTGCTAACTTGGTGGGCCAGCGGAAGGTGCTGGGGCAGTCGGGGCACCTCAGGGTGGCAGCTTTGGAGTGCAGCAGGCTGTGCTGACGGAGGTTGGAGGACTGGGAGAAGGTGCGGTGGCAGACGTCACAGCGATACGGACGGACGCCGGAGTGGATCAGGTTGTGTCTCATCAGATTGGCCAGGAAGGAGAAGGTCTTGCCGCAGTCTGAACACTGGAACGGCCGTTCCCCCGTGTGCGTCCGTATGTGGTTACGGACGTGGAGCTGCTTCTTGAAAGACTTGCCGCAGATTCCACAGACAAAGCTGCGCTCAGCGACGTGGGCCGTGAGTCCGTGTTGAACCAACTGCAGCTGGGAGGAAAAGCTTTTGTTGCACTTTTGACAGGAAATGGCCCCCCCCTCAGAGGGTGGAGCTGGAGCTCCTGCTGTACAGTCTGTGGTCGGCGCTGAGGTGTGGTTTCCAGCTGAAGCCTGGCCTGGGGGCGGGGCTTGAGTCTTCTCTTCAGGTGGAGAGGACACCTCCATGTTTTCCTCCTCACTCTGCTTCTCAACTTCACCTTCTTCCTGGACCTGAACACACCGTTCTGGTTCCACTTTTTCCGTCTGGTCCTGAAAGAACGGCTCCAGTGCGTGGACGTCTTCCACCCGTTGGTGGTTCTTCTTTCCTCTGGCTCTCTGGAGGATGGACAGGGCCGACAGAGACGCTCGTGTTGGAGCAGAGTCCTGTAAAGAGACAACAAACGTGTGACTTCACAGCGTTAGACTCTGGTGTTCCACTGTCATGTTGTTTGTTCACTGTGGTACCGTGAAAACGGCCGGTGTTCCAGTGGCGTCCCGGTTCAGGTGGGTGCGACGGTGGTACAGGTACTTGGTCATGTTGGTGAAGGTCTTGTTACAGAACTGACACTTGTGAAGAGGGTCAGAAGTGTGGGACTTCCTGTAAGAAGCCACAGACGGAAGACAAGCATTAAAGAGAGCAGCAGTCACCCCCCCACCCACCCCGCCCCCCAGTGTCCACACCTGGTACTGTACCTGTGCATGATGAGCGTCATCTCTGTGGTGTAGCCGTTGCCACAGTCCACACACAGATACCTGGCCACTCCAGAGTGTGTGCGCTGGTGCGTCTGCAGCGACGTGACCTTTTTGAACACTTTTCCACACTCGGGGCATTCGTGAGTGCCCTGCTCGTGGACGCGCTTGTGAGCCGCCAGCCGGTTGACCGAGTTGAAGGTGCGACTGCACAGGTCACACTTCTGAGACTTTGCCCACACCGCCCCACTGTTATCTGCCCCTCGAATATCTTCTCCTTTCCCCAGTGCCTCCTCCCTCCCCCTCTCGTCAAATCCACTCATGAGCCCCGACTCCCCGCTTTCTTTGTCCTGACATAGAAAGTGCTCCCCCTGGTGCTGGAGGAAATCCTCCGGCGTCTGGAATAGGAGGGAGCACTCGGAGCATTCGTAGGGGTGGATGACCACCACCTCAGTTGGCTGCTGCAGCTCCTTGACCCCGGGGGCCAACCTCAGCTCCAGTCTCTGGACACCGTTCTCCAGGACTCCGAGCTTGGCCGCGGCGCCTTGGCTCATCTTGGAATGCTGCTGACTGGGAGCAGAGTTGTCGGCCAGAACCTGTGCAGTGAGAATCTGCAGGTGCATGGTAGCAGAGCCGGGGGTGGGCGTGACGGGAGGCAGCAGGGTGGAGCGAGAGGCCGCAGCTTTAGAGACGGGTCGATGTTTCCTTTGTTGTTGTCGTTGTTGCTGTTGCTGAGCAAGAACCTGAAAAACACAGCACAAAGAAACAACATGAAAACAATAACAGCCCCCCCCCCGACCCCCACCACAGAAAAGCTGCGTCCTAACACCAGGTCTCCAGGTTGTCCAGTCACCTGTGCCAGTATCTCTCCAGCCTGCTGCTCACTCAACAGGTAGTTTTGCATACTGTTCAGTGGGGTGAGAGTTCCATTGGGCTGAATCACGTACTCCTGCAGCCGAGAGAAGAAAAGGGTGAGGTCAAATATGTTCACGCTCAATCATCAAAACAAACAGTTTTCATTTGTGGATCATTCTGTGAGCAGATCAGACTTTCTGTATTTAAACACCCAAAAGGCCTTACAATGACAGTGATGTTTTTACACTGCACTGTTGTCATTACCTTAAAACAATATTATCATCCCCTTGTAGAAACTAGTATCCATATTTTCTGTGTTACAGTGACACCTGCTGGTTTCAGATCGTTATAATAGTTCCTTGAGTGTATTTCGTTTTTATTTGCATTTTTATCAATATCAGCATGAAATTGGGTTTTTGATTATAGAAATTCTATCACTTCCATTTTATGGAAAATTGTTTTTATCAAATTAAAGTGCAAATAATTCGTTTTAACTTTTAACTAACACTGATAAACATGGACAATTATGAGTTTGGATCAAAGACGCCATGTAGACTGTGTTTGTTTCAGTCTGCTGGGGCCACACCCCTCTTAGGTGAACAGCAATTATCTGTGTGTTTATTATTATTATCTTTAAATATAATTCAGTCCATAACAAAGAGTACAATCATCAGCCTGTGGTTTCCTGCTCACCAAGGACTCTGTGTTACTGTGCGTGCTGCTCCTGTTGTGCATTCGACGATGCTCCAACCAGGTGTCGGGTGAGTCGAACAGAGCCAGACAGTCCAGACATTGGTACTGGACCCCCGCAGACCCCTGAGTCTCTGCTGGACCTGCCTGTGTTTCCAGGACCTCAGTTAGACCTGGTACAATATTAAAGACAAAAACGGTTGGTGCTGAATCAAAAACCTGCACAAGAACAGGTCGTGTCTGCTCACATCACTCAGAACAGATCGTCACCTTGTTGCTCGACCTCCATCTCAGCCTCCCTCATGTGCATCTCCTGGTGCTGCAGCAGCTCCTCGGGGTTGATGATGAGGGCTCCACACTCCAGACACTGGTAGGTCTGGGTCTGACCCTCATCTAAAACACCCTGCACGGTCACACCCTCGACAATCTCCACTTCTCCGTCTGCGTCTTGTCCGGTGTGAATGCGTTGGTGGACCAACACATCCTCCAGGGTGTTGAAGAGCTGCTGGCACTCACTGCACATGTACTGGTGCTCCACACATGCACTCTCTGCCTCCTCCTGTTGCTCCTCCATGGTAGTGCTGTGTGTTGTCCTATACAGACTGTAGGTGAATCATGGGAGAGGTGTCTGACAGGAGGCTGTGAGTTGAATGTTGTTGCTGTGTCATTAATGAAGGCCACGTCCTCACACACACACGGACAGTGAGTGCAAACCTGTAAAAAATATAAAATGTACAACATTTAAAATCAGCACATTTAACCCTGAGCAGCTGCGGAATTAAACTTGCTTTTATTTTAATAACACACAATGAACTGTTGGTGTTATGACTTCAGAAGAATAAAAACAAGTGTGGGCAGGAGAATATTCTGGAATAATTTTGGGAGCAAACATCATATTTTAAGCCGTTAGCCTCACGAAGGCCCGTTAATCCTTGAAATATAAATAATGCGACACATAATACGTTTAAACAGCTTCGTATTTTACTCATCACTATAGACTCTATCGTTGTCTACAGTGTGATGGCATATGGAGAGCTGTTGGCGGCGCTCCCTTCGATCTTGCAGAGCTTTTCTCAACACCGCGGTTTCCTGACAAATGCAGCCCGGTTTGCCGGGCGGTCCGTCAGGCGGCGCTACACACTTTCCCCCGTAGCTCTCTGGCGACGACGCGGGCCCTTCTTTCTTCTTACCTCTCTTTCGCTGTCGTTGGACAGTCCCTCGAGTGGTTATCTTGGAGGTAAAATTAGTCTGTTTTCCACCCGTTGTTCCTGTAATTGTACGGAAACAAAACGCAGAGTACTGTGCCGCCGGAAAATAACGTTTCAAAGGCCGGAAAGATATGTTTGCCCGCCGAGAGCCTCTATTCTTTAGCCTCAAAGCCCCGCCCACTGCGGTGGCTTCTGAACTTTGAATTCTGTGATTGGACAAAATGGCTGCCCATCATAAGCCGCCTTTAACTCCTGGGAATTGTAGTTTAATTTATCCTCACTATTTGGAGATTGAAGATTCGCACGCTTAAAAGAACAGAGTTAAAAAGCCGTACGGTTGGATTTAAATTGATTTTCTTTTAGAAACAATTACATTTATAAAACGTTTCTCAATTTTCACTGTTACAATAAGCAATAAAATTACAGTTGGCAATACAGGTAAATAAAGGACGGAAACCAAATATTTCAAAAATAACTATCAAAATTGAGCAAAAATGACCAATTGAAATTAATTGTTATTCTTGCTTATTCCCAAAATAATAATAATAATTATAAATATTGTTGAAGAGGAAAAAGTCTGTTAGTCAACCTAATAAGAACTTTATTTCCCATCAGTCTTTGCGAGCGTGCGTCGTTGTGCGTCAACACCCTAGTCCCCCAACCATCATCGTTCTACTGAGGAAGAAAGGGGGAGACGGGCAGCCTACATAGAAAGCCGTAAGTGTAGTTTTTAATGTATAAAGAAAATTAAAAGAACATACAGTTAAGTTACGTTTGTGCGGGTGTGCCCGATAATTAAGCTCACCCTTGCTCCGGCTTTAGTTCACACAAATATGAGCGGCAGCGGGCGGGCCAGGACCAGCTCATTCGCTGAACCTCCCGGAGCTCCCGGATCTGCTGCAGCCGGCGCCGGATCAGCAGTGGCCGGTGGAAGCTCGACAGGAAAAGCTGGGGCTGCACAAGCCACTGGAAGCAGCTCGATGAGCTTTGGGAACTTGAAACTGCCAAGTGAGTATTGTTTAGAATTTCCACGGACGGACAAAATAAATGTTACGACAAACGGTTGTGTTGTGCGTAATTTGTGACAAAATAGTGTCAGACCGTGTTTCATTGTCGTGGAGCTAACATTAGCTGCTGAGCTAACCAAAGTTAGCTGTCCGGCTAACGTAACAGTGTTTTTCATCATGGAGCACAGCCGACACCTTTCGCCCCAAAGCTTACTGTTCTAGTTACAAATGAAAAGCTTTAAAGCTAAAGACAACGTTTAATGACGTGGTGTCATTTTTTTCATTGCGTGGACTCACCTTTTTGACTACTTTGTAGCCCAGGACAGGCAGACAGGAGCTAGGCTAAGCTGTAATGCAACAGTCATTATTAACAGATGTGAAAGCTAACTAGCCTGCTAGTGTTTGTAAAGTCTGGGCTGATCATTTTAAGGTTTAATTCTAAAGTGTCGCTCAGGAATATAATATATTTTAAATGTTTAAAACGGGAAAAACAGCATTAGCTCACACAAAATGAAATGAGTGTGAATGTAAAAACGAAGTATTCATAAGGACATACTCTGAGGCTACAGGAAATACTCTCATGTCATGTATTACATTCTCATAACAATAAAGGTAAACACAGTCCACTGGCTTCTTAGAACATATTCATGGTCCAACCATCCAAGAACAGATGCAGTTACAGAGGTTTGTTCTTGTGGTCGTTCCTATAGAGCTTTATCAAGGCAAATTCATGTTTGACTATTGATATGTAATTATAAAAGCTTTTGTACTCGCTCAGTTTTTAGGGTCATGATCTTCAGACTCATCTTGGTACTAAGTCACTACAGTTACAGTAACTGAGCCTAGACTGTGACATGAGAGTAATATCACTCTTATTTAGGTAAATGTTCCCATGGAAGCAGTTTCTGACAAAGCCATCATTTCATGTAACCTTATGATAAAACTTTTTTAACAATTTACATTCATCCTTCACCAATTCTCTAATACAATAATACATCGGCAGAGGTTCTCAGTATAGTTTATCTATCTCTATCATATTATATCATTTCCCAATTTCTGTTATAAACAACAATAAAACGACTCATTTATTGTTTACACTGGAGGTACTGCATGTGTACAGTACTTGTTTTTCATTTATCAACTCAACTCAGGGATTATACCTGATAGAACAAGTCGCTTCATTTTTGTCCTCATTAAGTTTGAGTCTAAGCTGTAAATCACATTCAGATAATTCAGATACAGAAAACTAATCCGGCATCTTTTTGTTTTTATTTTAAACATGTTACTGATGCTTGGATGAGTCCATATTAAAATCAAATTATGAATTGTAACATAAATATTCTAATATCCTAAAGTGTGCCTTTTTAATAAGCATCAGTCAGGAAGTAGTGCTACACTACTGTGATATATTGTTGATGTAATGTGTGGACCATAAGTCGATATATGTTGTTTGTCATTTATAACTGATAAAAAGAGTATGTCCTTCATGTCGGGACAGGAATGGTGGGTCAGGTCAGATCAGGTCAGGTGACATTCTACATGTTTTCTCATGGCTTTATCTTGGACTATAGTAATCCTCTCCACAGAGAGGTGGATCGTAAAGGACAGAATCATGAAACTGTCGTCATCTCACTTTTTCAGTTCTGATCCTTGACTCTTCCCAGTCTCAACACAACTAAAGGTTTAGCTGCAGGGTCAGTGAGTGGTACCTCGGTGACCCACCTGTCTTCATAACTTTATTAGTTTTTATTTCTGATTGTAAAATTGTTCTGCTGATTGTGCCACAGTAAAGGAAACATCTTGATGTTATAGGCCCTGATTGAATCACTGCTCACTCACATGTCTGACAAGAACGACCCAAAGGAAAGAAATGTAAAACACTTGAAGTCACAAAGAGCAGTTGGCACCAGGGGTTTGAGATGAAATAGACTTTATTGTCCCTGATTAAAGGTGGAGGGGGGGGGGGGGGGGGGGATGAGAAGTGATTACATTAAAGTTCACAGTATCTGTGGGAACGCCAACTCAGTATTATGTACATTTCCCTGAAGTCAGAGTGTGTGTAGTCAGTGTTGGGTGTAGAAATCTGAGCAGCTGTCATTCATGTGACGTCACCCTGAGACGCTGTAGTTAAAACAGTCGGTGTTTGGCTGACTGTTGATGTTCACAGGGAAGTCGCACTGTTACTCAATTATTCTAGAATTATCTGCTTGTGATCATGGATTGTGTGGTTTTTCTTGTCTTTCCTGGCCTGTAGGGGGCGTTTAGTGTGCTTTAAAGCCTAAATCTACGATGTTGTTTTATATTAATCTAAACCTGGAAACACAAGAAATTAAGAGGACGGGGTGAAGCAGAGGGTTCCCAGTTTGGATTCAGCAGGGCGTCCAGTGTCAGTGTCCTGATGGTGTAGAAGGAAAACTAGAAGATCTTTTCTCTGCTCCTCAAAACGACTGGTGTGTTTCTGAGGTGTACATTTCTCACATGAAACTGAAGTTACTTGTTAATGTTAATGTACTTGGCGTTAGCACTTGCCAACTAGCTCCAAGCTAACTGCTGAGTGGTGGAGCAGGGAAAGTGACTTCACTCGCCCATTTTCTCTTACTCATCACTCCTGTGTCAGAAACCAAAGCTTTTTACTGACGGCTGTGGCAGAACCTGTGTGTGCATTCATTATTCAGGGACTATCATACCACAGCTGCTCCATATTTAATGTACTGCACTCCGTCCTGACTTGTTCTAAAAAGCGTGACACTGGCGCTCAGAGGAGACGGCCATACAGTGTTGAGTGGAGATGATGTCGGAGTTGAAGGAACGACGCAGGGAACCAATGTTTTTGTTGAGCTGACAGACGGAGATTAGACGTCTTTACGTCCACACTAGTGTCTCATGGAGTGTCTTCACTCTGATGTTCAAAGACCACGGAGGAGTCAGGGCTTCTGTTCAGACAGGCGACGTGAACAAGCCCAGGAAGTGGAGTCAGATGAAGGTGTGCTGCTGTCCACCCAGTTTGATCACATGTTCTAACATGTCCTGTGACAGTCAGCCTTTCTGCCTTTCTCCCGCTCCTATTTTCCACAGGACAATTATTCTGTACACAAACTGAAGTTGACGGGCTGCCGTCACAGACTTGGTGATTACTCAGTGTTGGACTTTAATCCTGGGTGAGACTGTAGTAGCTTTGAATCACAGCAGGTAGAGCAGAGACGATCACTCCAACACCGGGGGGAGTGGGGGGGGGGTGTTCAGTGGAATTGGGGTGTGATGGTGGTTTGAGTGAAAAAATGAATCATTTCACTTGTGTTTCCATCCTCAGGGGACAGTGGCAAAGTGACGACGGTGGTAGCTACCCCTGGCCAGGGTCCCGATCGTCCACAGGAAGTGTCCTACACCGACATCAAGGTTATAGGAAATGGCTCCTTTGGAGTGGTGTACCAGGCCCGCCTCATTGACAGTCAGGAGATGGTGGCCATTAAGAAAGTTCTCCAGGACAAGAGGTTTAAGGTGGGTTTGATCTGCATTTGTTAATGACGTTTTAATCTAACCTTAATCTAATGTTTTCATTTAGGCCCAGTTTTAGCTGATGAAATATTAAGATAATTTTGACTTTATATTTTTTTTGTTTATCTTACACACGTTGTCTATGATTGGATCACTGGTTAGATGTCCCGCCCTCTGACCAACATACGTAGATAGCTTCCATTGGCTCTAACCCCACAGACAGAAACTTCCTGTTCAGTTTTAGTCTTAGTAAAATCAGGTTGTTGATAAAAATGAACTGTGTTTTTTTTTTTCCACTGATTGATCTGTCGTGTTTCATCCTCCACTCCAGAATAGGGAGCTGCAGATAATGAGGAAGTTGGACCACTGCAATATCGTCAGGCTGCGTTACTTCTTCTACTCCAGTGGAGAGAAGGTGTGTATGTTCTACCACCGCTGTGTTAGTGTGACCAGGTCCACACCCAGTCCTCCAGGACCAGGATGACTCATACCTGACACCTTCTGGATTAGTGGACATTAATCCTTCAGTGCAGCCATCGTTTAAACCACTGAACCACCGAGTCATGTGACAACACTCAGCCTTTGATCTGAAAAGTTTGTCCTGAATTAGTCCATATCAGTTGGTTCTGTTTTATAATGGTGCTCAGTGGAACGCCAGCTGTCTCCACCAATAAGAGCACTGTGGGTGTGGCCGAGACTGAACTGGAGTTAGCAGCTTTTACAGACTTTGGTTTGTAACCATGACAACGTTAATGTGTTTTTTCCTCCATTCTGATGGATCACTTCAAGGCCGCACACGTCTGACTGTTAGATCACCACCTCCCACTGTCGTCGGTTGTTGGTCAGATTCATTTGATCCAGTTGTTATTGTAGCAGTAAATGATTTCAAATGGATGTGGATTGTTGAACATTAATGGCGGAAAATCATGCAGTTAATTTATAACTAAAACCCTGAGAGTCTGTGATCGTGGACGTCCTGTCCTCCGTCCTCCTGTCCTCCGTCCTCCTGTCCTCCGTCCTCCTCAGGTGTTTCACCTGTCTCCAGCTCCACTGTTCTTTCAGCTTCTTCTTCTTTATCTCATTGGTTTTAATATCTGACCTAAACATTTGACCTTGCTTATGTCGATTTCCTACCCCCACCTGACTGAATCACTATAGTTTACTTGTTTTTAAAGCTGGTCAGATGTGGGGTCTCCGTTGATGTCGTAGATTTTTCTCCAACATCTAACTCTTTTCTCTCTCTTTTTTCCAGAAAGATGAAGTGTATTTGAACCTGGTGCTGGACTTTGTTCCTGAAACAGTGTACAGGGTCGCTCGGCATTTTAACAAGGCCAAGACCACCATCCCCATCATCTACGTCAAGGTGAGTGGACCACAGAGGAGTGGACAGAAGGACCTGGTCGTCAGACTGTTGTTAGTCTTTAGTTTATGTTCAGTATCCAGTGAAAAGTCAGAAAAGACGCTGGAAATGTTCTTGTAAATGAGTTGTTGTTTTAAATCTGTAAGAAAGCCACTACTTTTCAGAAGTTGGTGAAAAGTTGTTCCTAAAACTCCACAAACACAACTAGTAGAACCAACAGTGGTTCTTATTGATTCACATCTGTAGATGATGAGGATTTTCCAGCCCGACTAAATGTATGTCTTTAAACTAACTGTAAAACTGTTTTAAACTGTGGAACGTCTTCTTTATCGTCAGCAAACACCTTATATGTTGTTAATTTGAACAGAAAATTCATCTGTTTACACACACTGTGTTTGACGGAGCCCCCTAGTGGCTCTGAGGGGCAGAAGGACCTCTCTTTCTCCTCACTCTTCTCTGATTGGACTTTGGTCCAGATGAGTCAGCGGTTTCTCTTGGAAACCTTTGACAATGGCATTAATTGCTGTTGGGTGCTTGGGCGCCCCCTGTCTCCCCTCAGGTGTACATGTACCAGTTGTTCCGTAGTCTGGCTTATATCCATTCCCAGGGTGTGTGTCACAGAGACATCAAGCCCCAGAACCTCCTGGTGGACCCAGAGACCGCCATCCTCAAACTCTGTGACTTTGGCAGGTCAGTGACATGCACCACTAGAGGGCGTCAGTTTTCTTTCAGTCTTTTTGTTACATGTTTATATTATAGAGTTTCTGTTTCTCCTGCCACTGTAGTGCTAAACAGCTGGTTCGTGGAGAGCCCAACGTGTCCTACATCTGCTCACGGTACTACCGTGCCCCAGAGCTCATCTTTGGTGCCACTGACTACACGTCCAACATTGACATCTGGTCAGCGGGCTGTGTGCTGGCTGAGCTGCTTCTGGGCCAGCCCATCTTCCCAGGAGACAGTGGTGTGGACCAGCTAGTAGAGATTATCAAGGTAGGCTACTGAGGCTGAATCTGAACCACGGTCCATGGTTACCTCCCTAGCCGTCGCCCACGGCGACAGTCTCTTCTCCCCATGTTGTTCAGTGAGACAGGTGGTACCCACAGAGATGTCAACACCAGCATGTGTGTGTGTGTTGTTCTTCCGTCAGGTTCTGGGGACACCAACGAGGGAGCAGATACGAGAGATGAACCCCAACTACACAGAGTTTAAGTTCCCACAGATTAAAGCACACCCTTGGACAAAGGTATGTGGTTGGTGGACCACCCAGTGGTCAGTGTGAAAACTGCACACACACCTGAAGGTAGTAGTAATACAGTAACTAGTAATAAGCAGCATGTAGTCCTGACCCTAGTGGTACACGGGGGAAATCTCATTTTTTTTATGCTGAGTTGATGAAAAGAGGAAAAAGTTTTTTATTTCAAACAAAGATAGTGAATAATTTAAAAAAGGTGTTGTTTTTTTTTTTTTTTAGTCTAATACTGAACAGAAATAAAACAGTTTCAGGTGAAAGTTGTGATAAATCAGAAATTCCCTGACAGGGTTGAAATTCCTTTTTCTTTTTCCCTGAAGGTGTTTAAGCCTCGGACCCCCCCTGAGGCCATTGCCCTCTGCTCTCGTCTGCTGGAATACACGCCCGTGACCAGACTCTCTCCGCTGGAGGCGTGTGCGCACGCCTTCTTCGATGAGCTGCGTCAGCCCAACACCCGCCTGCCTAGTGGGAGAGAACTGCCGCTGCTCTTCAACTTCAGTCCCGTCGGTCGGTCCACCATTATCTCATTAAACACAGCAGGTCTTGTTGTCGGGGTCAGTTGTCGTCTTGTAATAATTCTTCTTTTTTTACATGTTTTGTTTTCCCCGCTCTGACAGAGCTGACCATCCAGCCCCAGTTGAACTCTACACTCATTCCTCCTCACGCTCGTGCACAGACATCGCCTGCTTCACATGGTACGTTGAGTCACGGGAGAAAAAAACTCTGAACTTGATGTTATGTTTTTCTGTAATCATTTTTTCTTGTTTAAAACCATCGGTGACAAATGTGTTCCCTCTCATTACCTGCAGAGGGCAGTGTGTCAGACAGTACCGTCCAGCCCAGCTCAGCACCTGGATCCATCAACAACAGCACCTGAGCGTCCATCCATCCTTCATCCATCCTTTCTGTCCTCCCAGCTTCCTTTCCTCCCCCCTTGCTCTCTTTCCTCCCCCCCCCCCGAGCTCCAAACACTGAAAAGAAACGAAAAGAAAAAAAAAACCTCTGCCCACGTCGTCAACCCTCAGCGTTTCCATTTTCCTCAGTGTAAAATGAGGGGGTAGGGGGGGAAGTTTGGTCATTTAGACAGAAGACAATTAAAATTGGATGAGTTGGATGTCGGGGGGGTTAATGGGTGGGGGGGTTAATGGGTGGGGGGGTGTACATGTGTGGATTTACTGTATTATATTGGCGTCGGACTTTTATCTCCATGTGGTTTTTATTTGTATTAGCTGATTTTATGTGTGGCCATTGACTGGGGTCAGAGGTGAGAGTGAGGTCAAAGGTCAGGCCTTATGAATATGGACAATCATCCTAGTAGGGTCAAAGGTGACACGTTTGTACAGTGTTTGATCACGTGTCCTCACTCTGTGTCACGTTCTACCTGACACCCCCTCATCCCCCCCCCCCCCCCCCCACACACACACACAGGTTGTGGGTTCACTCGTTCCACTGGTGAACAGATGTTTTAATCTTCCACTTTGACAGCAGACACTTCCCATTGGCTGATTTTTAGATATGGTTTTAAATTGTTCCTACAGCGGGGGCCTGTCTGTCTGAACCCCCCCTCGCCCTCAGCCCCCCACCCCCACCTTTTATGTGAGTGTTAGGAAGCTTCACCTGAGCGTCTTCACTTCACCTTTTATTGAAGCTCATTTAGTCTTTTTGATAAACTGGGAACCAATCATGTCCTGTTGTTTAATCACTGGGGGGAGGGGGGGGGGCACAGGCCAGGCGAGTTATGAGGCCTGACCACACACACACACACACACACACACGTGTGTGTGTGTTATACCTGTTAAACGTACCTGTCAGACCGTGTTTCCCTCTGACGTTGACGTTCGTCCCTCGTCTGCCTCAGTAATGTTCATGTCCACCTCCACCTCCACCTCCACCACTAATGTCAGTCATGATCTGAGCAGAGACCATGCTTAAAGCCAACAGCCTTTGGAGCCCCCCCCACTCCCCGTTTGCCCTCTGCTTCCCCCTCCTCCTCCCTCCTTTTTTCAAAGCTAAACTGTAAATATCAAGTACCTTTTATTTTGTTATTATTGTTATTATATTGTTGTTCCTGTCATTTTTTTTCCTCTAGTAGACCGGTGCAGCAGCAGCCGGACTGTTTATCCTCAGTCACAGTCTGTAAATACAATTTCATTTCAGTCCCTGGCCACAAGGGGAAAAAACCAGAACAAAATGTTTCATTTTGTTTCTCTCTCCCTCCATGTCTGTTCTCCACACCGTTTCCTTCTCCCCGTTATTGTTGTCGGTCTTTTATTTATTGTTAGATGTTTTTTTTTGGGGGGTGGGAGGTATATTTGGGTGGCAACAATGGGGGGATTTTTTTTTATTCCAGTTTTAGGTTGAGTGCAGGGTCACATGCAGCACATTTTTACATCAGAGTTACTGTAGACGATGGTGACGACAGTCGGACATTTGAACCTACAGGTGGAACTTGACTTTTTCATTTAACTTCAATGTGAATAGAATGTTACAAACCTCGGGGGGAGGGGGGAGGGGGGGCTGTGGAGTTTGAGTGAGTGTGAGTGTGTGTGTGTGTGTGTGTGTGTGTGATGAAGAGGAATGTAATGAAGTGATTGACAGCTGTCATCTCTCCTGTGATGAGCTGGGGGGGGGGGGGGGGGTTGTTTGTCTGCTGGTAAACCATGACATTGTCCTCCGTGTTTCTTTAAATGAAGAGCTGACTAAATGTTCTACTTTTGTCCTAGTTTTATTTTTCTCCATTGTCCAATCTGTTTCACTCAGTTTGTAATTTGCTGTGACCCCGCTCTTTTATTATCCTCGTCTCTGGGGGGCAGGAGGGGGGGTATTTTTGGGAACAGAGTTGTTGGATAAAGTTGGTGATGAACTGTGAGAGATGGAGGGAGAGAGACCATTTTTGTTTGTTGGTAAGAATAATTAAACTCATTAATAAAGTGATGAAACTGTTCTGGTCTTGTGTTCATGACACCAGTACCAATGAAACACCAGCAGCAGCTTCATGGACCAGGACTCACCTGGTCTGGGTGCACAGCAAGGCAACAAAATCCCTTAAATGAGAACTGTGTGTGTGTGTGTGTTACAGAGGGACACACACACTAGAGAACAGGAAGTTGTTGCTCTTGTCTTCAAGAATAATCACCAGTTTGTTGGTGCAAATCCCAGGAGTTTCCTCCAACAATAGTTCTATTTCACTTAAAGGTGTGAAAACAGTCATTTGTTACTGGTTCATCCAGGCCACGACCACAGGCAGAACAATTAAAAACATTCCCACTAGGTGGCAGCAGATAGTTATTAAAAACTCAAAAAGAGACTCGGTGCTGTTGAAGATCTTCCTTCAAATCCTGTGAGTATATCAGGGTTCATTTCAACTAAACAGGGCCAAGTGTCACACTGGACTGTCCAGGGAATATTACCCTGCCCTCGTCCAATCACTGCTGTGATATGCTCAAGCCCCTCCCCTCCCCTATAAAAAAAGAAAAGCTGAGGTGGCAGTTGATACTGTGTGATTCTCTGCGGCGTCCTTACGTACCAACAACTGTCAGTTCCAGTTCCACAGCATTTGCTAAAAAAATCCATTGAACTTCATTTCAAATGATTCAATGGGTTAGGGTTAGGGTTCATTGAACTTCATTTCAAATGATTCAATAATTCTGTTTTTTACCATTGAAGAAAAGAAACAAGTTCAGGAATCGGTGGAACTTTTCCACCTTGATTTTACAGGTCAGCTCTGATCTGAATTCTTCTTCTTCTTTCTTGCACTTTTCTTTTTATGATTTCTCTCTTTTTGACTTTCTCTCCGTCTCGTTTCCACAAATAAATCTACACTTGTGTAGGTTTGTTGTCCACTGTTTCTTTATCTCTCTTCTATAGAAAACATTTTGTGCTTTCCCACTGTTTAACCAAACCTTCTTCATTTCCTTTGTCTTCGTCCTCGTCTTCCTCACAGCTGTATCCTTGACTGACCTGCAGCAGCCCCAGAAGAAACAGTTCTCAGTTCACTGGTACAGTTTCCCTGTTCTTTCTCATTTACCACAGCAGTCACCCTTCTTTATTTTATAATGAAATAAATGTCAGGTTACGGCCGTTTACGAACAGAAAACTCCTGGAAATCAATAACTAATTTTAGCTTTGGTTTCAACTGGACTGGAATAAAACATTTACTTTGACTTGATGAAGCTGTAGCTCCTGCAGGATCCCAGCTCCCACTAGACATACTACACACACACACACACATATTATATATAATGAATATATTCATATGTATGTATGGACATATAGTTAGACTGGCCTGCAGTTCATGGAATTATTATTCCACTCTCCTTCCTACTGAGGATTTCTACAATTTTCTCCAACTCATTCTTGTAAATCAATTTACATTTCAGGCTGTGTTTTATTCACGGCACGTTTTAAATCCACCCACAGGTTTTCAGCAGACGGCAGGGCTGTTCCGATCCTCTGTGATGAATTCTAAAAAACAAAAACAAAAAAAACAAAAACCTTCGTACTGGCAGATCACTTTACTTTGATGAAAATACATTTGAAATAAAAATGATACTAAAGAGACTAAAAATGAACAACACACTACCATGAAGCATAACATTATTAACCTGGTTAACTAGTACTTTAAAAAACCCTGTTGTTTTTAACCATCTACTGTAGATACAATCTAATACTTTAGTGGAGGTGTTCGTACTGGCAGTTTTTGGTAGTGCGACCGGGTCTTAGTCAATAAAATTTAAGACAAAGATTATGTTTGAGATGTAACTACATTTTGAGTTTTCCTGAGGGGGCGCCAGAGCACAGGGAAGTGGACAACAATGACACTGTTGACACTGTCTGCTGTCGTTGTTGTTGTACTAGTACTAAAAACAACGTCACTACTACTGCTCCAAATATTACTACTACTTCTACTACTGATGACAACGATAATGGTGACATTCTGAAATATATATTGCATTATTGTTTAAACGATGTAACAGTTGGCGCGCTCATGGGCTTCAAACTCCTTCGATCCGATGTGTGGTGTAACGCTATTGGTTGGTGAGTCGGCTCCTCCGGCCAATCAGATGGAGTCCTCTATCACGCAGGAAAAAACAGAAGTAGTTGCACATTTCCTCAACCGACAATGTCTGAGCACGGTGAGTTTTGTTTAAATATTTTTACTAGTTTAAAGTTTTTGTCGCATTTTTGTACACGTTGTTTGAATAGTGGCAGCTGATACGAAGGTACGGAGGATTTCAACGGGGGGAGACAGTTAAATGTCAACTTTAGTCTCTGGCCGCCATTACACCACCGAAGAAGCATATCCCGCCCTCCTTCTTCGCTCTTTTCTTCTTCTTCTCCTTGGTATCACAAAGTAAGCAACACTGGCCACAGTGGTAAACCAACCTTAGTTACAAGCTAACATGGCTTCGGAAGCCTCTAAACGGGTATTAATTAGACAGCGCGTCTTTTAACTTCGAGTTAGCCGCTGAGCTAGCTGCCACGCCGTGGATGCATTAGCTTTGTTGCGCTAAAGATGGCTAACGTTGTTCTGTGTAAGCAAACCTATACAGGTATAATATAGTAGGACAGGCTAACCGGGTGCTAACAGCTAACTGTCACCCGTTTAGGCTCAGACCCGATCAAAAGGACCAAAGACGAACCGCGATAACACATTGACCCGTGACAGCAAGAATAATTTGAGTTTACTTCACCCATGAGTCAGCGTCTGAGTGCTGTCTGTCACAAGTATCGGCCGCTAACATCAGGCTATCCTCCATTTTACATTTCATGGATTTACCTGTGTGTTGTTACCAAGGATAAGTCCTTATAAATCAAACTTTGTTGTTAGTCCTCTGCAGATGAGCACGTCATCGTTTCTCTGCTAATCCTCCGGCTTCATACACTGAAACCCTGCAGCAAAACCCAACAACAACAGATTAGTTTCTACATAAAAGTAAACGTAAATACGAAGGTGAGACATCAACAATGACACCCCCCCCCCCGTCGGTGCCCTATATATTTCCAACATTTAATGTTTTTATCAGATGCAAAATAAAATAAAAGTCACTATAAAATATCTGCGTATCATCGTTTTGTTATGTCATTGCCACATCCATTATTCGTGCTCTGTTGAACATGTCTGGGTCAGAACCAGGCCTCCTGAACAGTGGTGCACCTCGTCTCCATGTTGACTAACGTAGATAATGAAACAGTCAAACCACACAGATCATTCATTTCATTAAAGACAACGTATTCACAGCTGTGGAAAAATGGATCGATGCCAACTAAAAGTTACTGGAAAAATGTAGACTACACTTCAAACATCTATGATAAATAATTGAGTGTATCAGTCTGCACTAATTGAAATCTGTACACAATAAATAAAACATTAATAAATAATTAAAGCCCTGATAAATATAGGAGTTTTGTCAATGTATGAGTTTGAACAATAATAAAGATCAGCTGGAAATATTTTACAATGACGTTGACCTTGTGGTAAATCGTAAAAAAAAACCCAAAACATTTTCACAATATTGTATAATGATCCCTCTGTTCCAGTGTTAGTAACCTGGTGTTCAGATGGAACAGAGTCTCAGACTAGGATCACACTCTGACTACAGCTACACGGTTACTTGTCTTGTCATCCTCAGCCCACGGGATTGTTTTAATATATGCAGGCACTCCCTTTTGTCAGGAGGGGGCAATGTTCCCAAAATCAAATGCACTGCACTGGAGGCCAGACTTCCGTAAAATAAACAGAGTAGGATGTTGTGGTTCTACAGTCCAGTACTGCAGCCTTAATGTGGATCAGCTCAGTCTCAGACTCTGTTAGTCCGGTCTAACTTGAACTGTGTTGTTTCTCCTCTCCTCACAGACATGGAGGCCTCTTCGGTCTACATGTGCTTCCCCTGCTATCAGGAGTTCAACACCCTGGAAGAAGTGCTGAAGCATCAGCTGACGTGCACCGCTGAGGAGGAGCAGGTCGACGCACCCGGAGCCACCCACGTCACGGTCCCTGTGCTGCAGACCCAGGTCAGTCCTTGTTCCAGCAGATCCAGGGTTCTGTGAGAACAGCATCAGAGCTGAGATGGCCCTGAAGTGAAGTGATTGTTTTGGTCATAAATTCACACTGTTCTGCTGCTCATCACACTAATAGATGTTTTATTGGAGCACTCAGAACAGAAGAGAGAGTTGTAATGATTTAATGGTTACACAGTCAAAGTGTTCAAGTGTGTTTATGACTGATTTATGACACAATGACAGCTGATGTTTAAGGAAAGAATAACCACAGAGTAGTTTTAGGATAAGTTGGTACTTGGTTGGTTTTTAGTGGTGTGAACACTGTGTTAAAATATAACTACACGTCCCATCAAACAAAAGACATTCAGGTACAAATAAAAGACAATAAATGCCCCACTGGGGCAGATAGATAATTTCATGCCTTGTCTCAAATCCTGCTGCAGTAACTCCATGGAACCACAGGACTAATTCAAATTAAGAAACAACTGTGGAAAAATACTTTGGGCTCGTTCCTCCACCAGGGGTCACTAAATCAGTATTTCACATTAATTTGGCACAGTTTTTACCCCTGGTGACCATGTGACTTGGTGGAATCAACCAAGTTATTACAGAAAAATACAACTAAACATTTTGTATTTTTCCTTTTTGTGCAAATTGACAGTTGTTTTACGGTGCACAAATATACAACATATGGGACTTTAATCAAACCTCAACACAGTCAGTGTGTTCCTCTGTTCCCTCCACTCCACAGTACACGTAAGTACATGCAGTATTAGCACAGTATTATCTACGGAACCTTTTCTGTCATGAACAACATTTTCTGTGCTCAGAACTGTTTGGTTCTGTGCTCAGAACTGTTTGGTTCTGTTCTCAGAACTGTTTGGTTCTGT